TATTGAAACTAAACTGGAAAAATAAATATGAAAGTCAAATAAAATTCAATTCAATTCAAAAATACTTTATTGATCCCAGAGGGAAATTAGGTGTTGTTGTAACTCATTTAACTAAAAACTTATTGAAGTTATAATAATAATAGTGGAAAATATGCAACAGCAGATAAAATTCTCCTTTCGTAATTTAATTGGTGAATTTTAAGTGTATTTATTCAGTGGTTCATATAATTCTACTTTTATTTCTAATTATGTCAGTTTTGGTCCTCCGTATTGCAGAAACCTGATAATCATCTTATTCATGCATATCAGATGTGTTGGAGCAGAGAAACAAGTAAAACATGCAGGGCTGCGGCCCTCCAGGACCAGCATTGCCCATGCCTGGGTTAGTATGTATGTATGACATGTGTACATACAGACAGATTTGCTTTTTACTTTACTAAACATGATTTCTGTGGAACACCACACTATTTTTGTCTTCGTTTTTATTTTCACTTCCTGGTTTTAAAAACAATTGATCCAATGGTCAGGCCTCTGAAGTTTTTGTTGGGCCTGCTGACTTTTAGGCAGGATAATGACTCAGTGGTTAGTGTTGTTGTCTCACAGCAAGATGGACCTGGGCTCAAACCCCAGTTTGGACTTGAGATCTTCTGGTGTGGAGTTTGCATGTTTTGCTCATGTGGRTTTTCTCTGGGAACTCTGGTTTCCTTCCACAGTCCAAAACAAGCATGTCTTTGCTCACTCATATCAGTCCACCTACGATGTGGCCTTGTTCCGTCGATCTCCCAGTGGATCCTGCCGACAACGCCAACTGTTATGGAAATATTTATCTAAAAAAGACAGAAATACGTGGTCCAAGAAGGAAGGCACCCTGTGGAATGATCAGCTGAGTTTTATTGCAACAACAGGAACACAGAGAACAACATGGAGCCATCAGACTCTCCCACTGCTCTCTGCTCCTGCTTCTGCTTCCCTTGAGACAGTTGAGGCCTCATAAATGCTGTTTAACAAACACTATTGTCATCTTAGCAAGATTTCATCCTAAGGAAACACTGGGTCAAGGGAAAACACAAATATAAACACAAGTGACATCTAAGAATGATTGTTGTTGTTAGCAAATCTTGTTCTGACTTTAATCATTCTATCTGCTGACAAAACAAACAGMMTGTCATGAAAACTTAGGTCATTAAAGTATGTCATGAATTACTGGCTTAAACCTAAAAGTATTAGTTCCACCACACTGCTTTCATGCGCAGGAGGTCGTTTTAAAAACGTGATCTCAATGGGATTTACCTGGTTACATAAAAGTAGATAAATAAATAAAATAATTAATTTACATCATTATKTATAATAAACAACACACAGTCTAACGTAGAACCATGATCCACCTCACTCCTAAAGCCATTTGTGCCCTGCTTGTCCTTTGAATGGTGATTAGTGAAGTTAAAACAATATTCTTTGTTCCACACTGTGTTCCAAACTGTTATGCAAATTACATTTTATCTGATTTTCATAAATAGTCAATGCAAATGAYAGTCAGCATAATTTTCAACTCATCAGTGGATATCATTTAAATGCTACTGAAATAACCTTCAAAGGATAACAGCTTCTTTTTTTCAAGAATAAAAAAAAACTATAACGCACAGTCCCAAATTATTACACACAACAGAGTTTCAAAACATTTTACAGGCTGTAAAGAACTGAAAATGGTAATTTGTTGAATTTGCAGCAGTAGGAGGTCATATTTACTGGAATCAGTTATTTCAATCAGAACATATAAAAAGGTTTAATTACACTTTAATAGGATCCTTTGAACCGGCAAAGTTTTGGGGAGTTTCTGCTTACATTTCTTTCCAGGATGTGAGAATAGCCTCTCAGAGTTGCTATTTTGGTGTAAACTGCCTCCCACAGTCAGAGAGCTTTCATTTGGCTATTTGGCTTGAGGCTTCAAAGATAATTGATAAATAGGGTTTAGGTCAGGGGTGGATGGGTGACACAACATGAGTTTCTCCCATTTTTATGCCTGTGGCAGACATTGATGCAGAGGTTTTCCTTGCAGCACGAGATGGAGGATTGTCATGCATGAAGATGATTTTGTGATGAAAAGCGTAGTTCTATTTGTACCRTGGAAGAAAGTGGTCAGTCAATAACCCCATATACTTTTCAGRGGTCATTTTGACACCTTCAGGGTGTCACCTAAAGAGGCCAACCAGCTCTCTCCCCATGTTTCTGGCCCAAAACGTGACTCCGCCCCCTCCTTGCTGATGTTGCAACCTTGTTGAGCCTGCTTTGGAATAACATTTTAGCATCTTCTCTATTCATCTGATRTATTTGTCTGTCAGAAACCTTCCTCGTTGTGCCTTTATCTGCACAAACTCCTGTGTCCTCTGAATCAGCCACAAATCTCTAAAAGGGGCAATATCATGTAAAAT